CCCTGGCCCATGTGTGTGTCTGACCCTGGTCCAGGTGTGTGTCTGGCCCTGGCCCAGGTGTGTGTCTGACCCTGGTCCAAGTGTGTGTCTGGCCCTGGCCCAGGTGTGTGTCTGGCCCTGGTCCAGGTGTGTGTCTGACCCTGGCCCATGTGTGTGTCTGACCCTGGTCCAGGTGTGTGTCTGGCCCTGGCCCAGGTGTGTGTCTGGCCCTGGCCCAGGTGTGTGTCTGGCCCTGACCCATGTGTGTGTCTGACCCTGGCCCATGTGTGTGTCTGACCCTGGTCCAGGTGTGTGTCTGGCCCTGGCCCAGGTGTGTGTCTGGCCCTGACCCAGGTGTGTGTCTGGCCCTGGTCCATGTGTGTGTCTGGCCCTGGCTCATGTGTGTGTCTGGCCCTGGTCCAGATGTGTGTCTGGCCCTGGCCCATGTGTGTGTCTGGCCCTGGCCCATGTGTGTGTCTGGCCCTGGTCTGCTTGTCCATCTTAATGCCTTTGAAGTCTTCTTCTCCATTCCTCTCTCTTGTTAGATAATCACCTTATTCTAGACCTTGAATCTTAACCTTATGTTATCTCTTTCTCTTTCCTGCATGGCCACCTTCCACCCATCTTCAGGGAAAGCATTCTAAAAGCACACATGACATTCTTTTGTCTAAATGCCTTGCTGAGTTGAGTGGTGACACAAATCTCTTACCCTGTACTACCACTAGGACACTTCCTCCTGATACCCTCCCAATCTGCTGCCCCTGCTTCCTCACAGAAGTCACTGTCTTCTCCCCCATGTTACAGTCAACTCATTGCATGAGAACAGAATCAGCCAGGCTGAGGGTAATATTTTTACAACTCAGATACAGCTATTAGTTACTTTTATTCTAGGACTTTGCATAGAACATCTAAGAAAACCAGATGTTCAAAAATAGTTGTTGAGGAAGAAGGAAAACAGCTCCAGTATTAAATCCCTAGAAGGTAAACACTGTCCATCTAAAAACTTGACTACAGTGATGCATCACTTAGTGTGAACCATCTATACTCTGCGACCCAGACCCACCCAACTGGAGACTCTCCATGGCTGTGGCCCTGTGGGCATAGGCAAGGAATGGTCAGCATGGTTACTGGCTGGGATGGATCACCAGCAGTGCAGTGTGGGCTCTGAACTGAAGCGGATAGCAGAAGCTGGAGAAGCCAAGTGACCCGGCAGCCATGATCTCTTCATTGTGGATGTTAGGTGACTAGCTGCCTGAGTTCCTCCCTCTATGTCTCTGAAAAGGATGGCAGTACCTGGGATTGTAAACCCATGAACCTATTCTTCCCGGAGTCTGGTCAATTCAATTCCTTGTAGTTAGTTAGTTATTCCTTCCTTAGCCTCAATTGTCTCTAATCTGATCTGTGTATGTTCTGATGACTGATTAAATTCTAACTGTGCTATGTTTGGGCATTAGATGAAATGTGCTTCTTGATTTAGTGAG